AGCTCTCTGAACCCTAAACCCCTAAACCCTAAACCCTCCCCTAAACCCTAAACCCCTAAACCCTAGTGTGAGAGTCGAAAAGAGCCTTGCCTGCTTGTGCGAGTGTGAGAGTCGAAAAGAGCCGAGTGTGAGAGTCGAAAAGAGCCTTGCCTGCTTGTGCGAGTGTGAGAGTCGAAACCCCTAAACCCTAAACCCCTAACAGCATAGGCGAGGCCATGGCGGCTCCATGACCAGGGGAACAACCCTTGCAAGGGGAATCCGGGTCCCCATCGTATTCTCCATCCTTGGTGTAGGGTTTAGGGTTGAGGGGAAGTTGCTTGTAGTGTTGTCAGACGTCTGCGGAGCCTAAATGTCCAGAGTGCTCTGTGCATCCAGGTGTAGAGCGGTGTAGAGTGTCGTTGCAAAACAAACTGAGTCCTTACTCCCTGTAACGTGTCGAACAATGTGTTGCTTATGGCTGTGTGTTGGTTTGCACCATATTCTTTTCCACTGCAGTGAGCAACACTTCGAGGGAGGGGGATCCTTGTCCTTGAGAGTATACATGCATCCTTTATCCGTCATTGTACACTTTGTGGCCTTAGCTCACAGGATGCATTATGCTCGTACTTCACACCCCTTCTTCCGCATAAGACATGCGGGTGGGCATTTTTGCCCGTGGGTCTTGACCGACCTCTACGCCCGGGGGAGAGAGAGAGAGAGAGAGAGTGACGGGCAGACACACGCACACACATACACAGCAATGACAAATTAATGTAGCTATCATGATTACCATTGAAACTGCTTTCAGAGTTATCCGTCTTGCCGATCTAACCACATGCTCGGCACTGCACTGAATGTTCAAAACGAGCCAACACTCTGACCCTGTCACGCCCCAGAAACAACAACACATCCCTGCCGGGAGAGGTGACGACGCCTGGAACGCCCAAATGGAGACTCTCGATGAGAAGTTGAGCCCTTGTCAACTCATGAAGGCCAGCAGATCTGGACACGCGATCAGTGCCTGGTCCGTCGTTCGAGGGGCGCAAGCGATGTCACCAAATCTGGTGGTATGCAGCCGGAAGCTAATCGAAGGTTGTAGGTATTGCACTTTCCCTGGTATCTTTGAGGCAGGAAGGCAGGTCAGCCATACAGAGAAAGTGCGAGAGGTGTTGAATCCTGGAAACAACTTTGGTTTATCCCTGCTTGCTTGTATACGCGGCCTGCTGGACTCACAGTTGGTGATAATATTAACAGGTAGTTTTGGGAGGTCCTTTTGCGAGAACTGAGCAACTAGCAGGAACCACCGTGCTTGTTAATCAACCTATAGTGCTTTGACCCCGATGGAGGTTTCGCCGTTGCGCTTTGGCGGCATGGTGAGATTCACAATGCGTGCATGCGTGCAAGTGTAGGTCTCTTTGCTGTGCAGTGCCGTCAGCAGAGTCTAGCTTTGCCTGTCTCTCAGGTTCTTGGTGCCGTTTCAGGCACGCGATGCCGAGTCAGAGTCAAGACTCAAGACAGATCTTTCGGAATGTGTAACTCATATCGGCAGCGGCACCCTGAGTACCTGTACTTCCCGGCGGTCCAGTGCATGCCAGCTCAGCAAGTGACAGGAGAGGCGAAAAAGATGGACAGAACAGAGGTGAAGACAAATCACCTTAAACCCGAAATCTGAAACCTTAAACTCGCAACTCGCAACCATCCTACCTGGTGCAGGAGTTGGTCATGCCAGAGATGGACCAAGTACTGGGAGATTTTGCCTGCTTGCCGAAGCGCATTGTGACGGCGATGGTGTGCGGCCAGCTGCACAGCTCAAGATAGTCATCCGAAGCCCAAGCTTTTGCAGCCTGACTGCTGTGGAGAAAATGACAACTGCGAACGGGCTTTCTAATTCGTACTGTCGTGTGGCGAACCGTTAGGATGTTTTTTCTGTATTGCTGGACCATGTCCCCGCTTCTGTGCCACGCGAGACGAGCCTTGTTGAAACAGCAATGATAGCTGCCTAAATAGCTACCAACACTAGTTTATGCGGTTCCTTACTATGATTACAGTATGATAAACCCCAATTATTCTAGTACAATGTACCGGCTATCGTGAGGTACTGGATGCACAAAGGAGATGCCGCCACAGCGAAGGAGTGCTTCAATGCCGCAAGCCAAATGTTGGTGATGAGCTGGGCCCTCGGATACCTTTCTTTTCTGAACGGAGAACCTATAACGTACTATAATCTACGATAAATATACTATAGTATACTATCCTGCATCAACCCATGTCTTGCCAGTCTCTTTTGTGAAGGCATGGACTGTTTCGACAATGCCCTGCGGAGTTTCATCAATGAAGAGGCGCAGGGGAGCCAATTGATGAGTGACATGTTCCACAAGCAGTTTGCCAGCCAAAGACGACTCGACATTACGCGATGTTTGGAATGACCGGCAGGCCAGTACCAGCAGCAGAACCTACTCGTCATCCGTTTCAGCTCACAGAAACTGTTACAAGGATACCCGTGGACCAAGCTCACGGATGCAGAGGAACCCACAGCCTTCGCCCTGTCGTGCTTTGGCCTTTGAATGTATCCTCCGGCCACAAAGGTGGAATCTCCATGAGTGCAGTTATCAGCGGTGTTAACCAAAAACAACAATCACAATCCACGGCACGCAAAGACGAAGCAGTTTGTGTTTAAACGTCTTCAAGAAGTGACGTGTGTGCGTGCAAAGGTGTGGGTGCAGGTAGTACATAAGCTTTCGATGGAGAAAGAGGGAGGCAGATCGACAGACAAGCCGACACGAACGAAATTCGCACGAGCTTCCATAGATACATGCGCATACATGCCGATGTTCTTCTGCACATCGTATGCATATATGCGAAACAAAACTTGGGTTGCAGCATCCGTCAGGTCCCCAACTCGAGGTGGCTGCAGTTCCAGGAGCTGCTCCTTGGGCGCAAATCGTGCCAACATGGGGGGGGGGGAGTTCTTCATCGAATAGGGAATCGGGTTTGCACGATGCATTCCGGCAACCCGTCCCTCTCGGACAGGCCAGAAGCGTTGGGGTGCTTAAAGCCTCACCACGGAGTATGTTCTTGCGAGGCTGCATGCTGTCAAGGGTTTCGATACGGACAGGCCCAAGTTAGCGTCTACGCTATGTGTACGTGCAGCATCCACTCAGAGTGCGGATGATTTTAGCAGCCAAGCAGACGGAGAAGGAATATAGAGAGATAGTGGCAACGGAACTAATTGACAGCAGACTAGCCGAAAGCTCGACTAGACCTCCGAGCAAAGCAGCCGTGGAGAGTTCGAGGCTGAAGTACATGTCTTCATCAATAGGAGGCCCTGTGCAAACTTGGGAGAGACTGCGACTTACTATCGCCACATACCAGAGTTTCGTGTGGTCCGACGGGTGCAGAATGAAGACCTCGACTCTGTCCCAAATCATAGGATCCGCGCAGTAACTTACCGCAATACAATGAACTAATCAACAAAAGTCGCAGCACGAGAAATGCTCGAAAACGGGTGGTGGTTTCTGAGAGGCCTTGAAACAAGCACGTCGCTGTGCTGTTATGTCTTGCTTCCCCGACTTTAGCTGTCCCATTCAGGTTTGCGTACATGTCCCAAATCGATGCGGCAGTTCGACCTTTCCACGTGCCACGAGATCTCATTCCAAAATCTGCGGCGCTTCGGCTGCCATATGCCACATTCGATAACATGCGCATAAGCTGCACATGTTTTTGCAAAAGGCCATGGTGAGCCGTGAACCACAACCACGCAGCGTTCTCAGTCAATGTCGTCACGGCTTAGGATGAGTTGACAGGTTTCGTCAAGAGTGATGGGCCGGCCCGTTGTCGAGGATCTTTGATGATCCCGGTGGAGCACAGCGTGATGTCACTGCCTCCTCTGTGCTTGCATACCCACAGCAGTGACCCGGAGAAGATCCACATGGTTTAGCGGCTTTTTGCACAGGGTGATATTGCTCCGATCTCAGGTGAGCTTCACCTACGTGTCCAAGGCCCTGCGATCCTGTAGTTTTACTGAGTTCTGCCACTAAACCCTACACGCCGACACTTCGGCTTCACGAAATGAAGCTTTTATCCGCCTCCAACAAGTGGAGAAGTTCTTCTATTCATCATCATCTGACGAGACCCGGCATCGTAGGTTCGTCTTAGCCAGGCGGGGGGGGGGGGCAAAAAAGAACAAGAGAACTGTCCCTCCGGCTTCTCATTGCATCCTGGAGGCATCCCTCAGGAGCAAAAGCTGTTCATTTACGACGCAGATCTGCAATTCGTCTTTCGGACTTCGGACGTACTGCAGGAAGAGCTGCTAAGCTGTGCCTGGAGTTTGTCAAGGACTTCACTGGGGCGTGGTCGCTGCACCGCGTTCACTTGCTTCAACCGCTGGACCTCAAATCGATGGACTACACCGGACACAGGGCGGTCTTCATTGGAGCCGACGTTCCAGCTTGGTGCTTAGGCAGTGATGCAATCGAGCGATCATCACGCTGAGGCCAGCTGGCAAGACACTAAGCACGGCTTCGCTGGCAATTTCAACAACGGAATACGGCGCGATAGTTGAAGTGTGCAGTGCAAGGCCTGCTGCCTTGCGTACTGAACGGTCGATATCTGTTCCTCTTCTGTAATGTCCCATGATGAAGCACGCTGCGAGGCTACGTAGATCGTTTGCGACTTCAGAAGAGAAGGTGCGCCTTTGTTTAGAGGATCCTACTAGAAAATGTCTTTATTATGGTTTCTTAACTTTCCGACACTCATTGTCGTTCCGAGTTTCGAGATGCTTGGCTCAGTCAATCCACCGCCCCCAAGCGACTGACCAAACCCGAACCTACTGCTCGCCTGGTGTTCGGCAAGAATCAACTTCACGGCCCATACCCAAACGCGTAGCTCCAGAAGATACCAGCACCTAGCTGCAGATTTTAAGTGAGGCCTGGACCAACTTGGGCCACGCGCTGGACCGGTTGGTGACGGTTGTGTTCGGAACATACCGCACCCTGTTTAAAGTTAGACATTTGCAAGCTGCAAGAAAGTGTCGTTATCTGTTGCTTTCGCAAGACGGAAGACCAGATGGGAGTTTCCGAAAATAAGGGGTACCCTATTTTGAGGTCCTTATAATAAGGAGCCTACTA